CCGGCCCCCTGCTCAAAAAGTTTGCTGGCCCCTGTATAAAGCCTTAAATGGCTCAGGACTGCAATACCTGAAGGATTCTGTTACAACATTAAAACATAGCATTAAAAGCAACTTATAAAAATAAGATGGGTGCTAAAAACAAAAGACCTCAAGTGCCAAACGTCAGGGGGAAGAGGTCTTCAGCATTCTCCAGAAGCTGTATAAGTGAAGGTGGCAGGCGGACCCCTGGGGGGAGGAAGTGCTGCAGTTTAGGGCCCACTACAGAGAAGGCCTCCTCCTGGGGCAGCTTAGCCCCCAACCCAAGTCTCTGAGGATGGAGGAAATACTAGGAGGGTCCCCTTTGCTGATCTTGGCACCTGAGAAGGTCTGGGGGGAAGAAGGTGTCCTTTCAGGTATTTCATTCACCATTATCAATCTTCTTCACTGAGAACCAACCCTGTTCCTGGATAAGATTCCACAGAGACCCTGGACAGATGCAGCTTGAAAACCAGCTTAATAATAATAATAATAATAATAATAATTTATTTGTATCCCACCCCTCTGACTGGGTTGTCCCAGCCACTCTGGGTGGCTTCCAACTCATATAAAAACATAATAAAACCTTAAACTTTAAACAGCCTGACTCCCTCCTTTGGCAATCCTCACAGAACTCTAGCCCAATGGTTGCCATTAATCTGATTTGAATTAATTTTATAATGAAATGATTTTAGAATGTTTTATCATTTTACTGTTGTTAGCCGCTCTGAGCCTGGCTTCGGCTGGGGAGGGCGGGATATAAATAAAATTATTTATTATTATTATTATTATTATTATTATTATTATTATTATTATTATACAGTACAGGGCTGCCTTCAGGTGTCTTCTAAAAGTTGTGTAGTTCTTTATCTCCTTGACATCCAATGGAAGGACATGACACAGGGAGGGTGCCATCACTGAGAAGGCCCTCTGCCTGGTTCCCCGTAATCTCACTTCTTGCAGGGAGGGAACTGCCAGAAGACCCTCGGAGCTGGACCTCAGTGTCCGGGCAGAACGATGGGTGGGGAGACGCTCCTTCAGGAATACTGGGCTTTCAAGGTCAGCACCAACACTTCAAATTGTGCTTGGAAACGGACTGGGAGCCAGTGAAGATCCTTTAGGACTGGAGTTATATGGTCCTGGCAGCTGCTCCCAGTCACCAGTCTGACTGTCTCATTCTGGGCCAGTTGTAGTTTCCGAGTCACCTTCCAAGGAAGCCCCACGGAGAGCACATTGCAGTAGTCCAAGCGAGAGATAACCAGAGCATGCACCACTCTGGCGAGACTGTCCGCGGGCAGGGAGGGTCTCAGTTGGAGCTGGTAGGCAGCCGCCCTGGATGCAGAACTGACCTGCACCTCCATGGACAGCAGTGAGTCCAAAATGACCCCCAGGCTGCGCACCTGGTCCTTTAGGGTCACAGTGACCAGGGAGTCTCCCACACCTGCTTGGATCTGTTTGCAGGGTGGGCAAAAAAGAAGAGAAGAGGCCTTTCAGAAATGCTTGCCACTCGCCCAGAGAGAGCTGGCAGGGGCCAGGCGGGGTTTCCCCATCACCTGTGCCAAGCGCCTTATGCGCAGCTGGTTGCATCTTATGGCGCCATTGTATGTTATCTTAATTCACGGCCGCCTGATCCAGGAATCTTTCCAGTTAGAACTGTGCTCAGGACGTCACGGTTTCGATGCAAAATAAAAACAAAACACCCTGGCAAGATTTTTTTAAAACACACACACACAAAATACATAACAAAAAGAAACCAATAACTCGCTTGGTTGTTAAACAAAACAAACAAACTCATTGGGGAGCCCCCCGGCAGGAGCTGAGCACAACAGAAGCAAATGTCCCCACTTATGATTCCCAGCAAATGTCCCACTCTTCCCAAATCCCTTATGATTCCCAGCAAATCATAAGGCAAAGGGACGCGGGTGGCGCTGTGGGTAAAACCTCAGCGCCTAGGACTTGCCGATCGTATGGTCGGCGGTTTGAATCCCCGCGGCGGGGTGAGCTCCCGTCTTCGGTCCCAGCTCCTGCCCACCTAGCAGTTCAAAAGCACTCCCGGGTGCAAGTAGATAAATAGGGACCGCTTACTAGCAGGAAGGTAAACGGCGTTTCCGTGTGCGGCTCTGGCTCACCAGAGCAGCTTCATCACGCTGGCCACGTGACCCGGAAGTGTCTCCGGACAGCGCTGCCCCCGGCCTCTTAAGTGAGATGGGCGCACAACCCTAGAGTCGGACACGACTGGCCCGTATGGGCAGGGTACCTTACCTTTACCTTTACCTTTACCTTTATGATTCCCAGCAAATTGG